AAAAGACATTTTCCCTGTAAGAAGCCAAATGCCTCTTCTCATATCAGAGACCTTCATTCTCTTCCAGGACCAGCTGGTCTTTTCTTGGCCATTTCATAATGTGAATTAATCCTGGGGCACATCCTTCCCTTTCAACAGCCGTCAGAGTGTCTCTGCTGCCGGTGAGTGGCTGGCCCTAACCTTGAGCAGGAGGAGGCATGGGGATGGTTGGCCCCATGGCTGCGAACCTGGGGAAACTGAGGAAAGAACAAGTGCGTTAGCTCAGTTGCAGTGAACGCTGCTGGGAACAACCTCGTTGATAATAAAATGGCCTTTATTAAATCTGTTCCATTTCTCCTCTAATTTGAATTAAAATGGCCTTTATTTTCAAAAGATTTTCTGCATGGGGGTACTGTGTGGTCAAATGGACCCGTTTTAAGCCATATTGTCGCTTTATTTGTTTTTTCTGGATTTTCTATTTTTCCTCTATGTGGACAAGATACATAACTTACGTCCACCATGCCCATGTCTGCTTGCTTTTGCACTTCATCCCCTTCATTCCTCATTCACCATGCACTGGAATCTCTTCCCAGAGGAGTCTGAAACAATGGAGAGGGAATTGCAATATCCTTATGGTAATATTTTAAGGACACCTCCCTGGAGAGCTCTTCCCCACAGCATGATGGGGATTTTTCCACCTGCATTTTCATGTCTTGCCCAAGGAGCTCAATGATCAACCAGCCATGGAGGAAGAGGGGTTTATTGCTGGTGTGGATCCTCCCCTGCACAGCTGGATGGGGTGGTAGGTGGGAGCATCCACCGAGCCTCCTGCAGTGGGACAACTCACACCAACCTGAGCGCTCGCTGCCGGCTGGGTGTTGGTGTTTTTACACTTTTTACAAGAGCGTGTGGTCATAGGACAAGGGGCAATGGCTTTAAACTGAAAAGAGAGGAGATTCAGATTAGATCCAAGGGAGACATTATTTTATATTGAGGGTGGTGAGGCACTGGCACAGGTTGCCCAGAGAAGTTGTGGCTGCCCCATCCCTGGAAGTGTTCAAGGCCAGGTTGGATGAGGCTTTGAGCAACCTGGTGTAGTGGAGGGTGTCCCTGCCCATGGCAGGGGGGTTGGAACTAGATGATCTTTAAGGTCAACCCAGAAGATCTTTAACCCAACCCAAACCATTCTACGATTCTATGATTTGGCCTTTGGTGAGAGAGGAATGGTGGATTTAAAGCCTTTCCTACCTCCTCAGCTCCTTGTCTCGCAGGAGGAGCACAGTTTGCTGGAGAAAACTCCGTTAGGGCTTCAAAAGGCAAGTCTGGTGGTGGCTTGCTGGGGCCGGGGCTGGCTGCGGCGCAGATGTCTGCGTGCAACAATAGGCTGCAACTTAGTCCCATGCTTTGAAAGCAAAGGGGGAGGGGGGAGAAAAAAAGAAGAAAGGATAGAAAAAAAAAAAAAGGAAACCAGAAAGCCATTAGATGACTTCAGCTCCGTGTGACTACATCAAAAGGGAAGGCGTCGTAAATTCGGTTTCTATTAAACGCCGGAGCCCTGGCGCCGCGGAGCAGGATGCTGTTCTGGTGCCAGTGGCCGGGGAAAGCCATTTCGGGGCCGCAGGAGCGGCTGCAGATTTGGGGGGGGGCAGAGCTTTTTCCCAGCTGCTGAGTTGAGCTGGGTTGCGAGGGGCTTCGGCCACTCTGCGCTGGTGGATGGTGGACATGGCCTTTGCCCAAGATGTGTCCCTGTGCTTTCTCTTGCCACCTTCCTGGTAGGCATTTGGAGGTCCCTGTGGCCCATCAGCTTTGGCGTGTGTTGGGCATCTCCCGGCGTGTGAAACCTTTGCACATGGGGACGTTTCACAGCACTGAGATAACATTTCCTCTTCGTTCTGTTGCCATCCTTTCCAACCCCCAAACTCCATCCCTACCTCAGCGTGGGTTACTGAGGAGTCACTCTCCTTTCCTTCTTGCTAATTGATAATAATTGATCTGATGCATGTCAAAGCGGTTAGGATGATCTGTCCTAGGGCTTCCTAGAGCATCTCTCACTATTTTGTATCTTTGTTTAACCGTGTGATAACTCTGTTTACTGTTGTGAACATAGATTTGTTTTTTTTCTCTCAACTGTTGTGGTTTTTTTGCTTATTAGTCCAAACTGTTATCCTGTTGTCCTGGCTAATCACCCAAGACAAATAAAACAAGGAGGAGGATTTGGAAGGAAATCTATCATTCTCTGTATTTTCTGAGTATGAAATAGGTCATGTTGTAAGGGTCACTGTCCACTGAACCCTATGGAAAGCAAACATTCTTGGCTGAAGGGTATCCACACCAATTATTTGATATGTGGGGAACGGTGGTCCCAGGATATGAGTGTGGTTTCCCTCATCTGTGGCTGCGATGGTTTGTGCATGGACAGAGCTTTTTGTGCATCAGAGCAGCACCTGCAAATCCTGCAGCATCTGGAAAAGAATGATGCAAGTTTGTGAAGTTTTTTAAAATAGAAAAGGGGGAAAAGAATTTTTAAAATTTTAATTAAGTCAAAATCATTGTTTTGAAGGGCCAATTTGCAACTCTTTGCATGTTAAGATTTGCAGGACAGCACCTTGTTTTTGCCCAGAGGCTGATTGCATGTGACAGAACCGTGGGACTGCATAAAAACCTGTCGCTTCCTCCCACCCGAGACAATGGCTAATTGTTCTAATTTGGGTCAATCCCCTGCTGTGCTGCA